CAATCACGGCCTCCTAATAATCCCCATCCATCGAATTGGCTCTATCACTCTTTCCTCTCTCCACCTATAGCTGGTGTGTTGTGAGCGCACTGGCGCCGTTGTACTGTGGCTGCCGTCGCATCACCCAAGTGAATGCTGCACACTGGTGGTGGTTGAGGAGAGACCCGGACATGATTGTAAAGCGATTTGGGTGTAGAGTAGTACATATGAAAAGCGCTATATAAATGCCTCATTCATTCATTCATTCAAGAGTCAACACGAAGCTTAGAAACATCCAGTCGCTTCCGCCTTTTGGCTTTATGTCGACGAGATGGAGCTAGGTCCAGAGACATCACACTACGCAGCAGTCGGTGGTCAGACCAACAGCTTGTGCCTCGCATGGCTCGAGTTGTTTGGACCTCCCTGAGATGTTCCTGCCGGCTGATGATGTAATCCAACACGTGCCAGTGCTTTGATCAAGGATGTTGCCACATGGTCTTGTACTTGTTCGCCTGCTGATAGAAGGAGCTTGTGATCGCCAGCTCATGTTGCGCACATATCTCCAGCAGCAGCGTGCCGTTTGTGTTCTCGATTCCCACTGAGTTTTGCCCCAAGACTTTCAGCCATGCAATGACATCTTGTCCCACACGCGCATTAAAGTCTCCCATAAGAAAGAGCCGGTGTTTATGAGGCACTGAACGTAAGGCAGTGTTAAGGTGTTCATTGAAAGACTCCTTCTGGTCATCACTGGCAGTCATTGTGGGTGCATAGGCACTAATCAAGACTAATCAAGACACTAATCAAATGTTGCCATTCTTGAACATCAGCTGCAAGGTCATCAGCCTTGGCAACAGGCCGCGAGGTTTCACTTCTAGGAGTGGTAGCAATGATGTCTTCACTGCAAATCCAACTCCAGCCTGCCTTGGCTGACCTTCGGGCTGCCCAATTCAGAAGAATGTATAGCCGGCGTTGACTTCTGTGAGTTTGGTTTCTCCCGAAACTCTTGTCTCACTGAGAGCAGCAATGTCTATTCTGTATCTCGCCAGTTCACGGGCAATGATTGCAGTTCTCTGTTCGTGACGAAGAGTCCAATAGTGTGCGCACATTCCAAGAGGCTAGACGCAGTTTAGTCTTTATCTTTTGTACTTTTTGTCGACCGCAGAATTGGATACTCAGCTGGTCGCGGTGAACCAGCAGAGTGAGTGGAACGAGCGATGTTTAAGGAACCTTTTTTATCCCCCTCTTCCGTGGAAGAGAGCAGCGCTGTCCCTAAAAAAGGCTGCTCTGTCACATGGGCAGGATACGGATGGTACTGATTCAGGTCAGCATCAGACGACCATCACACCCAGGCCGCCTATGTGCAGGTTCGTGACTAAGTGCTCCCAGTGGTATCCTCCACAATGAATCTGCCTACATCACAATGAATGGATTATAGTGGGAAAAGCTTGTGTGACCGATCCCACTCTCTCTTCCAACAGTGACCGTATATATATATTATAGAGCCAACATGAGCAAAACTTACTTTAAGGATGAATGTCACAAAAACATCAAGAATCAAGAATGAGTCATATTTCCCCTCAAAAGCAAAATAAATAAATAAAAAAGGTTACAAACTTTATATACTGTATTGTTATGTTATGTTTGTTATAGACACAAAAGATTTTTTTTAAAGAAATTAATATTTCTATTAAATTGATCTAAAGTGAAAGTAAAGACATTTATGTTACAAAAGATTTCAAATAAAGATAAATAAATCAAATATTTTCAAATAAATGCTATCCTAATCAATGAATCCTAAAAAGAATCCTTTTACTGTTTTAGTGTATTTTAATAAAATAATTGCAGCCTTTGTGAGAGAAAGCAGTCATAAGAGATTCACCCATGAAAATAGGTTGAATAATTGAATAAAACTATTTTTAAATAATGGAATGAAACCTGACTGAAACACCAGATAAAAAGGTTAAATAATAATCAAATATATATATATATATATAAAGTCACACATTGTGGTCACTGGAATCATACAACTGAATAAAGAGAATTCAAAATAATATTGAAGAATGTATGGAGAATATTTCAGGTGAGGCGATGAACAAGAGCAAGAAAAAGAAAAGACAGAAAGACTTGAGTGCTTTTGGACAGCTGCACAAAGAAACTCACAGACAAAGACAAAACATGGACAAAAGGCAGGTGGTATCCTTGAAGGAGGTCTACATGAAGCTGCCCAAATGTATGACAACTCTGTAACATCGTTATCTTAAGGAATACAACACATACCCACCACACTACAAGGGCCACAGGTTGTGACCTGAAGTAACTCAGAAATATGAATCACACTTGCAACCTTAATTCCAAATTCAAACTGAAATTTAGCCTGATCCAGCTCTGTTCCCCCTGAGTGTGTCTGTAATTTGTTACACTTAAGTTCAGCTCAGGTCATTGTATATGTGTCTGAGAGGTGCAGAGGTCAAGTCAAGGGTGCAGGTCCTGTTGACCCAATGCTCCATGTACTCTGAGTGTTCCCCTTTCTTCCATCCAGACCCAACTGGCCCCCGGGGATTTCCCAGTCCCTCGTGTCAGTCATCCACACTGAGGAGGGCCCAATGACACGGGCCACTGATGAAACAAGAGACGAGTCCACCAGGGAAGAAGGGAGGGCGAACATAGCGAAGACCCCAAAGAACACCGAATGATTTGGTTTGAGTGGAAAAGGAGCATGTTGTCATTCACATTGACTCTATTTGGTTGTTAATACTTGTTGCTTCATAAAGAGGAACTAGAATTGATATACGTTTTTCTTGTAAATCACTAACACACAAATCAAATGTAGATTGTTACAAATGGACAAAATAGCGCCAAAAAAAAAAAGATTGGATGGTAAACAATTATAATAGATGGATGAATAAGTCTGAATGAGTATTCAAGCCAATCACACAAATGTGAAGTGAACCCTTATTTGAAGGTTTCTAATGATATCCTACTAGGTGTTGCTTCTGGAAGTTGTGTTGCTCTATTATTGTTAGATCTTACCACGGCATTCGGCACTATTGATCATAATAGCCTCATTGATCACTTTAGAGTTTGCCTTTCAGGGTTTAGCCTTGGATTGGTTTTCCTTGTATTTAAAGGACTTTCTTAGTTGGTTTAGGGAACTATTGTTCTTCTGTTGCCCCCCTTGTGTGGGGGGTTCCTCAGGGCTCAGTTTTGGGGCCAGTCTTGTTCTCACCATTATATGCTTCTGTTAGGTATGCTTCCATGACATTCATTATCATTTGTATGCTGATGATTCTCAAATTAATTTACCATTGAAACGTGGGGAATTTTCTCTGACCAAGTTTATTCTATTTGGTAAAAAGGAATGTGTGGAGGATGTTAATGATGGTCTGGTTGCTTCCAGCAAAAAAACTTTCTAGTGTAAAAAACCTTGGTGTAATTTTTTACTCTGAGCTGACTGTAATGTGGTGTGATCCAGGTCTCTCTCACACCTGCAGCTTGTTCAACATTCAGCTGCTAGGTTTCTAACTGGTACTAAGAAGAGAGGGCACATACTGTAACTCCTGTACTAATCAAACTACCCTGGTTACGTCACTGTACTGGTCATTACGTTACAGAATTCATTATAAATTGCTGTTATATTTATTCAAAGCTTTGCATGGCTTAGCACCTGAGTTTTTCTGATTTAATCAGTCTGCATCAATCAAATAGGTCTCTTCGCTCAAATGATCAATTATATCTTACTATTCCTCGATATTGTTTGAAATGTAAAGGTGACCAGGCCTTTTTTTTAGAAGCTCTAAAGCTTTGGAATGAGCTTCCCCTGTCCTTAAAAAAATCCCGTACATTAAATGTTTTTCAGAGTGCATTGAAAACATATTTGTCTTCTTTAGCATTTAAAAAAGCTGTGTAATTTGTTGCTTGTTGTTTTGTGGTACTTGTTTTTATCCCTGTTTTCATTTATATTTCTTTTGTACAGCATTTTGGTTCCACATTGTGGTGTTTGAAAGTGCTTTAGAAATAAAGTTTGAGTTGAGTTGAGTTGAGAACTTGTGCAGAAAACATGAAATAAAATTCCACCTGAACATATTCTATTTTAAATAGAAATGGTCGTTTAACATTATAAATGTCATTTTTATTAAAAGAATGTGTCCTTGCAGAAGTCCTTGATTTCTGTCAAAAATGTGATGAGATATTATTTTTATAGTTCATGCAGGATAACGAAAAAGGACAAATGTATTGTAATTTTTAAAAACATTTTTAGACAAAAAAAAAATCAAAAGAAATGGGGGAAAAGGATAAAACCATGATATGCTCATCATATAACCATGTTTAAATCAATAAACTATTAAAACACATTATGTTATTTATAATGAAAAATAGTAGCTTAAAAACACAGAATAAACCCTGGCTGGTTTACTGGTCTCCCACCCCAGTCAAATCACAGGCTAATCTCAAATAACACAGTAGGCTATATAATCAGGTCATTAAATCAAATGACTATCAAAGTAATTTACATGTTTAGTATGTTAGTCAAACTTCAAAGTGCACTTTAAAGCATGACAAAAGATTATTGAAACAATGATTATTAACATTCAAAACAATTATTATTGCGCTTTTTCCAATAAGTGCAACAAGAACCTATTCAGCATGGAAACAGCCATAAAACTATTAATATAATGATAATAAAACTAGATCCCTTATTCTAGATCATTTTGTATCAATATTGAATCCATATAACAGTAGGCCTACTAAACTAGACTAAAACTATAGTAGCCTACTTAGGCTAAATGTGTAGGGCAGCTTGTCTACTTATCCACCCACATAATACCGGATGAACTTGACAGAATGAACGGGAAACGCTCGCATGTTTAGTCTTTCCGCGTCTACTTTTACTGTCGACTTTGAATATTAGTTCATCACTTATTTCTTCACAATACGGAAACACGACGTATAATAGCGTCATGTGAGTATACGAAACGCCTGAAATCACCGAGGACAGTGAGGACGTTTAGTACCCTAGCCTACTGATGTCCGTTAGAGCGGAAAAATCAACATGTCGGAACCGAGAGTAAAGCGAATAAAAACTTGCCTTCCTCTCTGTAAAACACATTTATCTACTGCTGGGAGTCAGGTCAGACAAAACTTCCCGACTGTTGTGGAGGAAAGTCTGTGTGGAGTTTCAACTTTACTCATGGAGGTCTCTTACAGGCTGGAAGCGCTGGTAAGAAGAACTCTAGTCTACTGTAAACATGATGCGGATTGACATAATATAATATAACACCCCGGATCATCCGTGTAGCAGTAGGCTATTGTAGAATAAACTTACTGCATCCATTTACAGCATTGCTTTATAAGGTTTTATATTTAGGCTATAAAGTTATATGCCATTATTATTTAATTGCGTTTTATGGAAAAGTTTGTTTTGTTGTCAAGTTGCTACCCCACCCTGAGCCAATTGTCGCCCTAAAAACACTGGATTTTATCACTGTATAACTTTCATTAAAACATAATTGGGACAAATAGGTTGTCAATCTTTTACAATTTTACTTTTTATGTTGGTTTTTTAGAGTTTTGAAAAAATGTTTTGCCTATATTTTCAATAAAATGTTTATTCCATGACACAAAATAGCCTATCAAGTGGAATGTCCAAATTATGGCTAGGCTACTAAAACACTTTGCCTTGTAGTGTAGACAGCTTAATGTTTTTTTTTGCTGGTTTGTTTACAAAAATCAATCAACATTTTCAATGTCCTATGATTTATTTACTTTTTTGACAAATATGATAATGAATATCAAATCTCAACACAGTCATGAGGGTCTGGGGTCCTCTCTGTTAGTTCTTGTTAAATGACAATAAAATGGCTTCTTATCACATGACAACAAATGTTTTTAACAAAACTGCTTTTTAAATACATAATAATAACAACAATAATAAAGTTCTTCTCTTGCCAAATTTTTGTGTATCCTAACATTCCTAAATCTTTTACTACGGCATGTCTATATATTTTTAATAAATCAGTAGAATTTGTCTATAAATACGTATAGTCCACAATGACATTTACTTTATTGGTTTTAAAAATAAACAAACATGTAAATATATTCTCTGAAAGCAGAAATAATGGACTGACAGACTGACCCATTTTCTTCACTTACAGGAAACTATGGTTGGCAAAATCATTACACTGTTTTCCAGTTAGTTTCGTTTTAAATCAGATCTGTCTTCCTTTCTGTTTTAGGCCAAAATCTTTGAGCAGAGTGACTTGTCTTTACCCAGAGTGGCTGCGTATTTTCATCAGGAATCAGTGAAAGAACTAGAACGGGCAGAGGCAATGCTGCAGTACCTGTCCCAGCGGGGGGGGAAATTCTGCGGCAAGAACATTCAGGTATAACTCGCCCACCTAACCTGTTAACCTGAGGACCACCACAAGACTTGGCACAAGTGACCCATATTGTTTCTTAAAAGAAATAGCACCAAATACGTTTGCTAATATTCCCATTAAGTTATGAAAACTTTATTTCTGAATGTTTAAACCGTTCCGTTTTTGAAATGTTTTAAAAACTTTTTTTGCTTGGTTATGTGAACGTTAATAAAACATTCCATTTTATCATTCTGCAAACATTTTGCGAACGTTACTTTTGAATCTTCTCTGAATGTTCTGAATCAAGTAGTTTTTAAAATCTCCGTCCTTCCGATGACTGACATCCTAGAATTTACCTGTATTTTGGAGCTGATGTGTGAATGGTCTCTTACCGGTAAAAAGCCAGAACGCCGTTGCTTGTGTGAACAGCATATTTGTGTATTATTTACCGGTAAAGTCATTCTGGCAATTTTACGGTAATTTACCGGGATTGCTGTGTGAAAGGGGCTTTTGACAGAACGTTAGGTTAGAATGTTCCTTGTTATCTGGGATAGAAGGCATCTCATTTATTTAAACTCATGTTTAAAAATGCGAAATAGAAAACTCAGACCCTAACAATTATTAATCATAAGCCTATTTTTTCCCCAGAAACCTGAAGATATCCTTTTACTCCTGTTTGTATGGGGCAGCAGCACTTAAGGGGGGGTGGAGGGCAGAGAAAAAGAGAGCGATGGGGGTAAACTGGCAGGGGGTTTTGCAGAGATCTCCCCTTTAATGCCTGTTAGGGTATACGTTTCCCCTGAGTTCCAGAAAATTGGGGAGATTAATGGGAAGGCGGAAGGACAGTGCATTAATTGTAGTTCCAGATGGATTCCGTGGCACTTGCAATGCTGTCACTTTACACTGCGTCCTCTATACTGGTTTCTCTTCTTTCTATTTTTTTTTTTTTTTTACTATCCAGTATCCACCCTTCCCTGATTTTATGACTCGTGTGAAATTGATCCGGACTGGTACTGGTGAGGGTCCATCAGCAGCGATTTTGAACACCTTGTTATCAGTTCCTCTGCGCTGGGTGATGGTTGTGCACACTTGGAAACAATTGTGTGCTGTCTTTGTTAATTGTAGCTCAATTAAAATTCGACTGATATGAGGATTAATCAATTTAGATAGCTTTTGAGTTTTTTTATCAAAGCTCTTGAAACAATTTTAAGTTACTTAAATTACTTAACACTTAAGTTAATATATTAAAAATGTTCACCAATTGCATTTCTTTGATCAAAAATACAATAAAACAGTAATGTTGAGAAATATTATTACAATTTTAAATAACCGTTTTCTATTTGAATATATTATTTTATGTAATTTATTCCTGTGATCAAAGCTGAATTTTCAACATCATTACACCAGTCTTCTTCAGTGTCACATGATCCTTCAGAATTCACTCTAATAGGCTGATTTGCTGCTCAAGAAGCATTACTTATTATTATCAATCTTAAACGCGTTGGTCGAAATAACATGAAATAAAGGGCTTCATCTAAGTCTATATGCTGAGAAACTAATGAAAGTCAGGTGCAAATGATAATCAAACAATGAGTAACCAAAGAACTGAAAACACAGGAAACTGAACTAAACTAGTGAAAACCCATCCAAACATACAAAACCCAGATCTCCTATAACAGAAAACAGTTGTGCTGCCTAATATTTTTGTGGAAACTGTGATTAATTTTTTTTTTTTTTTTTTTTTTTTCAGAATTGAAAGATTAAAAGAACAGCAGATGTCTTTACTTTCACTTTTGGTCCATTTAATGCAGCCTTGCTGAATAAAAGTAGCAGGGGCCGTTTACACAAAAACATTTTCAACTAAAAACAGGAAACCTGTTGGTTTTTGGCATTTTGGGGGCCCTAAAAACGCAAAACTTTGAAAACGGTTTTCAAAGTGCAAGTTTTTGAAAATTATACCGTTTCGTCTCAGTGTAAAGTACAAAAACTTTGTCTTTGTAGAAAAACGGTGACATCATGTGTATTACGTGTTCAGTCTATAGGCGTGTAGTGTTTCTTTATAAAGTGACATAAATAATACCTCGTTTTTAGTAGTTTTCGCGGAACATTTCACAAAACATTTAAATTTCTTCTTATTATTTGAAAATAATTATTGTAAAAGAATTGTAAAATGTCATGTGGTACGACTTTTTTAATAAATAATTTGTGATATTTGTAAAAAAAAAAATTAAAAAATCTAAAATCTCACCTCAAAAATCACTTTACCCTGAAAGTATTTCAGTATTTCAATTACCTTAAGTATTAAAAAAATATATATTTCTAAGAACTTGGCACGTGTTAAAAACAAAATTATTTTTTGTAAAGATTTTTTTTCTTTATCATGGACACATTTATTTGCCATTGACTCAAATGTGCCTTGCAGTGATTCTAACATGAATGAATGAATACCAAACCAATTGGTCAGACTCAAAATTTAGTTGAGAAAATCACATGTAACTTCAATGGCACTCAAAGCTGTGCTATATCGGCCATGTCCCAAATGGCACACTTGACATAGACCTGCATTCTCACACGCGTCTGTAAAGTCCAGAAGCCTGTAGGGTGTTTTTAGGGTGTGTTCACACTTAGCAGGTTTGGTTTGATTAAAAACCTCTGGTGCGAATGCTCTGTTAGTGCGGTTGATTTGAATAAGTGTGAACGCTTCCGACTGAACTCTGGTGCGCACCAAACAAGCAGACCAAGAACGTCTCGGTCCGCTTCCTAACGAACTCTGGTGCGGTTCGACTGAAATATAAACGCAACAAGGAACAAAAACATCTAAATGCACAAAAAATAGGACATGAAATCACAAGATGCTGTTTTTTTCTCGTCATTTACAGTTCTGTGCAGGCGTCAGAAACGCTGTCTCCTCGCAGCAGATCTTCATTTGTGTGTGTGACGGAGGGATTCCAGCTGCTGTTTTGACTCCTTTACACATTTTATAAGCTCTTCATGATTTCTCCCCTGGTCAAAATGCCATATTATGAACACACATACTGTACAACGAGCACATTTATCTCAGCACACAGCTTGTTTTGGATGTTTGGAAAGTTTCGTCTTAAATATATGTTTTTTATTTTTGTTTTATTGTATCTGTAGATTCGGTCTTAAAAAATTAAAAGTGAACCAGGACGAAACGTATCATTTTATTTTTGGTCCAGACCTAAAGAACCAAGAGAACCGAGCTATTAGTGTGAACACTCCCTTAGATTTCAGAAGAGTGCTGAAACTCTGCACTGGCCAATCAGCATCCAGGACTGAAAATTATATTTGGTTACACTTTATTTGATAACATTTTATTTTACAGTGTCCTTGTTACACATGTTACATGCAGTTACTGCAATAATAACCATAAATTATTCATAATTACATGCAACTAAAATAAAGTGCAACCCTTTATTTTAAGGTGATTTAAGGAGTTATATTTAATTTACTACATGCACTTACTATAGAGTTACAGTTTGGGTTAGTTAGATTGTAAATATGCATAATAACACTTTATTTTACAGTGTCCTTGTTACATGTGTTACATGTACCATAGTAATAACAGTAAATTATGCATAATTACATGCAACTAACCCTCAATTACTCAGTACTTAAATGTGTAATTACATTGTAACAATGACACCTTAAAATAAAGTGTAACCGCGTACTGTTATTACTAGTAGAACGTGTAGTAACGTGTAACTATGTCAACTTAAAACAAAGTGTTACCTTATATTTTATAATCGATGTAACATTTACGCCAGTTTAGTGTTTACTTCTAATTCTTAACACACAGCGGCTTTTATACGCGTGATAGGTTTCAACTTAAAAAATTAGGCTTATGACTTATTGTATGTTTGTGCGCAGAGGCCAGTCACTGATAATGTGTTCGCCGTCCTTCCCGGTCTGGAGATCATGCTTGACCAGTGGAAGGAGGAGATGAGCGTCATGGTGGAGTTGAATCAGCTGGCTCGTGAGTACGGAGATCCACACACCGCCAGCGTGATCAAAAGTCAGTTCGTTGAGCCCCTCGTCCCAAAGGTCAAGCTCGTCGGTGACCTCTTGACCAGCGCTCGGAGAGTGGGCTGCACCAGTGACAGCACAGGGGGCTTCGGCGAGTACCTCATCGACCAGCTACAAGAGACCCTGACTACGGCCTAGACTTCCTCTTCGAATCACTGAGGAAGCATGCATGTGTATATAGCACTTACACAGATGAATGGATGGATAGACTGAGACAGCACTCACAATAATAACAGTTTTGTATGTAACACGTATAGTCACTCCAAGGTATAACTTTGGTCGCACTTTAGATTAGAGAATACATATTCACTATGCATATTACTAGAATATTGGATGTTAATTAGTACTTATAAAGCACATATTAATACCTTTTTCTGCATGACCTTATTCTACATCCCATAATCCTACCCAATACCTAAACTTAACCACTACAACAACTTCCTTAATTACTATCAATAAGCAGCAGTAATTAAGGGTTTATTGAGGGAAAACTCCTAGTTAATATTGAATATGTGTCCCCTAATCTAAAGTGTTACATTATTGTAATATCATTGCTGTAAAATCAAGGTATTCTTCAATGACAAGAATGAGAAGTTTAGATAAGAGTTTAAACTTATTTTCTCTTCATGTATTAGTGCTTCAGACCTTGCATTTATGGAACACTGCTTTGGCCTGTTTATTCTCTGTGTGTGAGAGATTTATTTGTATTTTCTCAAAACAAAATATGTATGTTATATTTGCGTATGAATTTGATTTGTGAACATTATTTCAAATGAAAAGGTTATTTTACGTTATTTTAAGTTTTGACTTTTGCATATTATCCTGCAGTGGTTTTAATAAACAATGTGCACATTCCATATGACATAGTGTATTTTTTTCTTTATAGCATAAAAAAGATGTTTTCCAGAACAATGTGATTTTTGTCACATAATTGTCAGGCTGATGGAGTTATTATTGCAGACTTTTTTTAACATACAATCTTACTTAACAAACTCCAGTTGCCTGTATTCAGGCAACAAGTACTAACACAAGACGGATAACGCAGCATATTTGGGACTTTTGAAACAGAATTGAAGTTTTGAACTCTCACCCGGCTCATTAACGCCCCCTATAGGACTGTTATGTCCGTCTGCTATTGTAAGAAACGCTAAATAAAATGGGCCGAATCATAAACAGATCATGAACGGCAATACTTATCATTTTCTGTGTAAATAAATAAATAAATAACCAATTAATCGATTAAATAAAATAATAAAAAGCCTACCAATTTCTTTAAACAAAATAATACAAGCTAAACATTAGTCAGTGTATGTTTTTATTTCAGTTCTGAACAACACATAGCCTACTGATAAGCATCCTAACATTCAATAGGTCTACATTTAAGTCACAATTTAAACAATTAAGTCACTATTATTCACAATTGCGCATGCATATTTATTGTTAAAATTATGGCATTTTTATTTTTATATATTTTATTATTTATTATTCACGTTTGTTTGAGATTCCCGATGAATGATTGAATTTAGTGCTCATTTGGCATTGTTAGCCTTTTAGTGTTTTATTATGGAACATTTGGAAGAAAACAAAAAAAGAAAACATTAAGGCATGGATCCGTTTTTTCTGTTACATTACATTAGCCTACTGAAATCTCTGTTGTTGGTCGTCTTATCAAAAACAGTATAACACAGTTATTTACTTATTAATTAGAAACAAATCATATTGAAAAGATCCCCTTAGAAAATATAAAGGAAAGTCCTTCCTCGAATTTTTCCCTGAGAAAATTCAGGAAATTCTAAAAGTAGAAGTGTTGAGAAGTAAAAAAGGCTGAAAGGCTTAAATCTTTGAAAAGCTTCAATCTTTGATTTGATGACAAATAAACAAATAAAAAACATTTCAGTCCAAATATTCACGCGACAAAAGCAGTAAGAGCAACTTATGTCGTTATTTATAAATGAATTTGTAATTTTAACATTTTTATGACGCCGTCATTAGCTGCAGTGGCAGGCCGTCAAAACCACGCCCTTTTTCCTCAGCGCACATACTCATTGGTCAAACTGTCATCTGCAGGACACGCCCCCAGACTGGCTGGGCTGTATATAAACAGGCCGTGATCTCTGACCAGCATCAAGTACCTGAAGGGTACAAGCAAGGAAACCTTTTGAGGGTCTGTTTTAAAACGGTTGTCTCGGGCAATACATTGTTTCAGGATCTGAAGGAATTTGTCTTAATATTCCTAAATCCTTGAAAACTTTACTATTTGGGAAGCATTCAAGTAGGCTATCCTAGTTATAAGCCTATACATTTTTTTTCCCTTAATACATAAAGATGGAGTTGTCGGATATTCCCTTCCCCATCTCATCAGCTGATGATTTCTACGACGATCCTTGCTTCAATACCAACGACATGCACTTCTTTGAAGACCTGGACCCCAGGCTCGTTCACGTGGGCCTGCTCAAGCCCGACGAGCATCACCACATCGAGGACGAGCACGTGAGGGCACCCAGTGGGCATCACCAGGCCGGCAGGTGCTTGCTGTGGGCATGCAAAGCCTGCAAGAGGAAAACAACCAATGCTGACCGCCGCAAAGCCGCCACCATGAGGGAGAGGAGACGACTGGGCAAAGTCAACGATGCTTTCGAGACCCTCAAGAGATGCACGTCCACCAACCCAAACCAGAGGCTGCCCAAAGTGGAGATTCTGAGAAACGCCATTAGTTACATCGAGTCTCTGCAGGCGCTGCTTAGGGGTCAAGAGGAAAACTACTACCCTGTTCTGGAGCATTACAGTGGAGACTCGGATGCGTCCAGCCCGAGATCCAACTGCTCTGATGGCATGGTGAGAAGGAGCCTATTTATGTAGTGGTTTTAAAATAGTAATTATATTCTTTACCTATTATATTTTATTGTAGCCTATATAGGCCAATATTTATTTGTCCGTTCATTCATTAATGGTTTTTTCTTTACTTTGGCAAAGTAGTAGCTACATTCTAAAAAAGGCTGGGTTGTTTCGATTGTCAAATATGGACAAACCCAACCGTTGGGTTTAAAAATGTAAACCAACGAACTCGTTTTGTCCATTTTTGACCGTTGCAACAACCCAGCGTTTTTTAGTGTATATGCCTATGTGTTTTATTTTATTAGAATTTGGGAACATGTGACATTTTTCATTCAACAGCCAAAAAAGATATCGCTGTGAATGAAACATTATTAATTGGGCCTAAGTAAATTATTTGTTTATGTAGGCTACTTGTTAATTAGGTGTCTTCATTGTAACTAATTTTCTTTTCGTGTTTTCTAGATGGATTTCATGGGCCCTACATGTCAGTCGAGAAGACGGCACAGTTATGACAGCTCTTACTTCAACGACACGCCAAATGGTACGAAAAATTTCCAGAAATAAAATCGTCTTAATTAAAATCATTAAAAAAAAATAAACATTTGAGTTCAAGTTAAATAGAATATTTGAGTTGAAGTTAAAATCTGTTTTGTTTTGCAGCTGACGCACGGAATAATAAAAGCTCAGTGGTGTCGAGTTTGGATTGTCTGTCCAGCATCGTGGAGCGGATTTCCACAGAGACCCCCGCATGTCCCGTGCTGTCGGTACCGGAGGGGCACGAGGGCAGCCCGTGTTCTCCGCAGGAGGGGTCTGTCCTGAGTGAGAGCGGGGCCCCTGCACAGTCCCCGGCCAACTGCCCTCAACAGCAGCCTCAGGATCCCATCTATCAAGTGCTTTAAAGATCCGCAACATTTCAATGCAAATTGAAAGAGACAATCTAAATCAAGAAACATTCAGCAGAAAAAATTGCAAATCCGATCTTAACGACAAAAGAAAGACTATTTCGATCCACTGCTGGAAACTAGGAACGAATGATCTTTCTTTCTTTCTTTCTTTCTTTCTTTCTTTCTTTCTTTCTTTCTTTCTTTCTTTCTTTCTTTCTTTCTTTCTTTCTTTCTTTCTTTCTTTCTTATGCTGTGGAAAATCTAATTCCTTTATGAAAATGGCTCGGATCAGCAAGTGAGTTTCTTAACTACGCTTATTTATATTATTGTATCCATGTGAAAATGTGACCATATTTTTTCTCCCCCTTTGTGATATATTTTATGTCGCCATCACCTTTGATTTCCTAATTATTCACGAGAGAATCGTAATCCAGATACGGATAGTAGGACCACTTTTGTATATGTGTAAATAAGATCTGTTTTGTTAAAGCGACGAAAACGAACAAACATATTATTGTATTTAATGATGATGCCTGTTTGAAACACTAGCTTGTTGTGTCTTGTGTTAAACTTTATATTTATACTTCTTAAATGAGTGAATGTCGGATTAATAAAAAATAGCCTATAACTATTTATACTCAAATATTTGATGGGATTTTGTGATTTATTCCATGAAATTAAAATGACACCATTGAAAAACAAAACGGATTTAGCGTGATGGGGGAAAAAAAAAGACTTGAATTGGTTTCCAGTTGAGCTCTTTTTAGGATTTTTTTTTTAATCACAAAAAAGACAGCCTATAAAATAATATTTTACATTTTTAGCCTATTTTGTCCATGCTGTTCCAGAGAACCCTGGCAACTTGAGCTGATATAAGAATGTTTTTCTTGAAGCTTGCCCAATTTTGTTTTATCCAAATCAAAATAAGCGTAAATCTAAACATAAAAGTTATAGGGAATCATTTACCCTGCTCGAGGACTTTTGAGGGAATAGCCTGTTAAAGGGTAAAAAGTTTTCGTTTCACATTAATCGAATTTCGATAACGCTTCACCATCCATAAACCAGTCATTTTATTCAGTTGATGTAGGCTATTCAAAAATGAATAGCCTGCAAGTGTAGGATTGTTTAACCTATAGCCTAGCTATAGGCCTAATACGAAAACGTTTGATTATGTTAATAAAAAGAAATATCAAATGTTAGCCTAATTTTTAATAACCTAATTTTTAATAACATATTTTTTATTATTATATATAGGCCTATATTTCTTGCGTAAAAAAATAATAAAAAGAAAAAATAGGGCTTATGGTTGACAGACATGATATTATAACAACAGCACCATCTTGTGTAGCCTATTGAACGATGTAGCATATTCGCATAATGCACACCTCATATTTGTAGCTATCACCATATTGTGCGCATTATTGTGTCACACTGTAAAACTTATATGAGCAAATACGTCATTTTTTAGCCTACTTTCTCATCAAAATAATTTAACCAATTTCAAATTCTTTTTAGAATTTAAATTTAAAATTAAAATTGTATTTACAGGATCTGTGACTGTCGATTACCACAGAATAATTTCGACTCGTAGAACTCGTATCTCAGCGTGTAGCCTAAAAACAAACTAAAACTGACTATACACTGTGAGACATGATTTTGAATCCTGGAAACTTGGATTTTGTTGGGACTAGCGTACTGTCGAAGGCGGAGGAACATCTGGATACGCGTGACAGGTATTCTTGTGGGTGGATAAGAAGTTACTGTTATCCTTCCGCCTGTCAAAGTTACATTTTACCTGCGTCGGTGGCGTGACAGGAGTTGAACATTGAATATATTTGCACAGACAAGGTAAGAATCTCGAGTTTAATCACTTACTTGTCACATACGAGACAGTGTAACATTATTTAGAAACCGTGCGTTTTAATTTTTATCCGTGTGCAATAAAACTCGCGAATTTCACGCGACAGAATTTTTTTGCACTCGTGGAATTAGAAAGAAATGGTCTTGGGTGACAACCTCCAAAAACAACGATTTTATTGATGTTTCAATAAGAACAAGTAGTACTAAGGCTTTAAGTCACACTTTATTTACATGACATATAAAGGAATTAAACTACAGTCCAAGACGATGAAGAGTGGGTTGATCAACAACTAGTCCTGTGCAGTCAGCACAGAATGTGTCTGTCTGTATCTTGTCCATCATCATTGTGGAGGTCTTGGCCTGCAGGACGACGCACTTACTTTCTGCGACGAGCGCCGGCGCCCTTCTTGCTGCTGCAATGTCAAGAGTAGTCAAACACAACATGTGAGCAAAATTATGCTTTGATTTAACACTCGACCGAATTAACACTGCAACACTCGAATTTACGTTTCACACCACAGCAAGCAGCTAATACCAGCTCTTTCAACCCAGGCTTCACTTAGGCCTACTGTCCCATCATTGGCCTAATGATGTTTTCTTTTTGGCAGCTTCAATCAAAAATGAATTCAACAAAACTAGTTTAAACTAGTCTGCTCATCAGTCCTGGAGCAATGTGTAAATCCATATTCCCTACTGTCCTTTTTTTACTTAGAGTTTCCGTTTATTTCCATGTATTATTAATATTTAAATGATCAAAATATATAGGCCTTTTAATAGTTTTATTTTTTATTATTATAATTTATGTTATATCTTTACTTTTTTCCCCCATAAACCTCCTCTGTCTTGTCCCTTAGACCTCCATTGTAAATTAATGATGATAATAATAACTAATGTCCCCCTGTAGTTATCCCTGAAACTCATCTTTGATCACCAAAATTACATATTTAAACGTTTTTTCCTTGGAAAAAAATATCTTCATGTCTTAAAATAGCTTGAATGTAACTACAAATTTGCCTTATTTAATACATGCCCTCCACTCACTCACACCAGCTCAGAGATCCACTCGTGGACGCACACACAGGCCATGCACAGCAGGGGGCGCCATAACATTCAAGAAACATGCGACTTACAATTTGCCGAGCTCCTCCACTCTCTTGCGCAGTGTAGTAATCTGTAGAAGATCAGAGATTTATCAGTGATATCACAATTTACCTCAAGGGAAAACATACTGCTGATGACAATTGGATGTACAGGTTCATAAATGTTTCCTGTCCTCTTGTCTCTTTGGCTATTTGTTTTCTCACCTCATACTTCTGTTTCTTCAACCTCTCTGTGTGCTCAAACTTCTCAGATTCCAGGGTCTTTATCCATTCAAACAGCTCCTGTGCTTTATCTCTGAAGTCCGGGACACAAGACATACGTAAGAAAGTTTACATTGCCTCCCTTTAACAGTTTATAATCGAGTATAACTCACTTCAGTTTGTCCTCGTTGAGATGGTCGACGTTGAGTGGCTTGCGTCTGTCAGCCAGGATCTTTTTCTTCTTCTCTCTCTCTGTCTGTTTTTTGCCACCTTTCTTGGAGTCAGCCTGAAGGACAACAGAGCCTAGAGTTTCAGTGTTGTTTCAGTTCATTCTCCTCAGTTCATTTGCACTGTTTTAAATCGTTACCTTCTGCAGGTAGCTGCTGTAGTTGGTGCCCATGTTGGAAAGAGCTGACTTCTTCTTGGCGTCTTCCTCAGCTTTCTTCTTAGCATCTGCCTCCTCTCTCTTCAGCCTCTCCTCCTGTGGGAAACACCAGGACACACTGTCAGTTAGCGGTCGACCCATTATTGTTTTATTTTAAGGCCGGTGCCGATATCTTAGGGCGTTTTCAGAGCTGTTCGCGTTTTTCCGAAACAGGGTTCAGATCGCTTTCACAAGGCAACATTTCAATTCGTACCAAAATGTGTTTATGCAAGTCACATGTGAGTAAAGCTGTCCTCTTATTGGTCAGAGTTTCCACTGCATCATCCATAGCTGTCGTGAAACGCGTAAACACTTATACGTCAGTATACGGAATCGAGGCTTCGTTGGGACAACATTGTTGCAATGCACAGAGAAAAGCAATTACCTTCACAACATTTTAAAGGGATACTCTGCCGTTTTTTCATATTAAACTGTTATTCCCTTAACTAAGATGAGTTGATACATACCTCTCTCGTCTCAGTGCGTGCACTAAATCGCTCTGTCTTGCGGCGAAACTTTGATAGCACTTAGCTTAGCCCAGTTCATTCATTAGGATCCAAGCAGAGAAGCGACCAAACACCTCCACGGTTTCCCTATTTAAATACAGTTACAAGAGTAGTGTAACTCGACCAAGAATGGTGACACAAAATGAAACGTTGCGCTTTTCTAAGCGTGTAAAGTGGATAACTATAATGTATGGCGGAATACCATAGCAAGTGCTTGGGAGCACTTCGACTCGGCGCAGTAATATCATCTCTCGTGAAAAATCCTCTCCCTCTCTCCGGAGTGATGATATTACTGCGCCGAGTCGAAGTGCTCCCAAGCACTTGCTATGGTATTCCGCCATACATTATAGTTATCCACTTTACACGCTTAGAAAAGCGCAACGTTTTATTTTGTGTCGCCATTCTTGGTCGAGTTGCTCTACTCGTGTAACTGTATTTAAATAGGGAAAAAGTGGTGGTGTTTGGTCGCTTCTCTGCTTGGATCCTAATGAATGAACTGGGCTAAGCTAAGTGCTATTAAAGTGTCTCGCGCGCCAGAGCGATTGAGTGCACGCACTGAGACGAGAGAGGTATGTATCAACTCGTCTTAGTTAAGGGAATAACAGTTTAATATGAAAAAACGGTGGACGGTGGAGTATCCCTTTAAGTTGAAGAATCACTCTTTGGTTTTCAACTGTGATAACTAATGTGCTCACTCACAGAATCAGACACTACTGCTATTTATATAGCACATTTCCAGTTATGAATTATGATAGCGCTTGGTTCGTTGGTCTATTGGGTCGGATTACTTTCTCACCTCAAGCGAACCTCCCCAGAGTTCGGTTTCAATCGGGCTGAGACCTCCTCATTCAGGCGATTCGGAGCGATTGTTTTGGTGCGGATAAGAGCAATTGCCGTGTTCATATATGCCTAAACAAACCGAACTAAGGGTAAAACACACGAGCCAGGTGTTTAAACGCCTTCAGGTTGGTTGATATAGATGATATCTATTGCTGAAATTAATTGCTGAAATAAAATTTTTATTTTACATGACATTTACTAAATTAGGAATAAATAATTTGAAAATGTATATAAAAAATTTAATTTGATAAAAAAATCTGTAAAATAATTTGATTTATACTTTAGATTCTATAATGATTCTATAATGCTTTTAGAGTAATTTTCACAAATAAAGAAAATTTCTTTGTTTAACACTTCTGTCAAATATGCATTTTGGGATATCGCATAAAAAAACGCTGGATGGAAACGTCGCAAGATGCACGTAAATTCTAAAAATGCGCATAAAAAAACTTGCGCTTAACTGAGTCGGTTACATTTTTTATTCGATAAGAAAACATGCCCATAAACTACGATGGAAACACTTTTACCGAATTAATTCTAAGATGCTCATCAAAAAAGACATGTGGCTTGTGATGGGATGGCATAACCGGACCAACCAGCGGACAGATCTCATTTAGGTCGTTCTGAAATGCCTGAGCAAAGTCTGTTATTATGAGGCACAAGTAATTTATTATATACGATAATTATTATATTATGTGGCTTGTCC